AGGAGCATCGTCTGGAGGTGCACGGTGAGCTGGGGGTTCCAGAGACCATGGGGGTGCTTGAAGGTGCCGTGACCTCTCAACGCAAGGTCCAGCTGGACCCAAAAGTCCACAGCCATTGCTTGCTGCCTTGGGTGTTTTGGAAAGGATGCTGCTAGCTGGGCTAGCTTTGCCCCACCACTGTTCCTCTTGCCTCCAAGCTGTTTGCAACTGGTTTTCACTCCAGCAGCCCAATTGCACTAGTTGCACCCACTCACCTTTGCTTTGTGTTTCTGATGCCACCATCCAGATCGATGGTGTTTGTATATTCACATGCGTACAGCCAAGGTTGTTGCTACAGCGTCACCTCCACTCCATGTCCCTCTGTCCACAGTGCTGCCCAGGATCCATGGCAGCAGCAAAGCCCCGAGGAAGGTTTCTGTCATCAAGGCTGGTGAGACAGTTTTGGAGTGTGATGCCATGGGGACACCGCCACCCACAGTGACATGGGTGAAGGATGGGCAGCCCGTGGCTGACGGGGACGAGTTCCTGCTTACGGAGCAGGGGAGGAAGTTGCACATCCCTAAGGCGGAGGTGGCCCATGCAGGACGCTACGCTTGCCTGGTGGAAAACACGTCAGGGCAGGAGCGGAAAGAGTTTGACGTTGCAGTGCATGGTAGGGGTGTGGGACAGGGCTGGTGACTGGGAGGGATGGTGATATCACACAGCATGAGTGTGGAGAGCAAGACAACATGGAGGTCTTGGACAACCCAGCATGTAGAAGATCTTGGGTCAGAAGGGGGATGCTCCAGACATAGCTGTAGAACTGACTCTATCAGGCAGGAGTTGCTTTCCAGGGTTGTCAGAACAGACCATCTCACACTTTATGAAGCCATCTACTTTCCAAGGACTTGGGGAAACCTCATGGGTCAAGGTACCAAGTACTTGAGCTGGGAAAGGCCTGAGGTGGCTCAGCTTGATGCCACACCTGTAAGTGTGGGCTTGTGGGGGTGGGTAGGTGGCGCATACTGTAACTCATCTGTCCTAAAACACCTTCAAGTTGAAAACTTCATATGATGCTTGTGGTCCCTCTGGGCTTGTGTCCTCAAACTGTACCAGCAGGAGGATGGGAACAAGCTGGGTTTGCTCAGTTTGCCTTGCTCCTCTGCTGTCTTGGTAGCTTCTTTGTAAATGGAAGTCTGCTCTTTTCTACATTCCCAGTTCCTCCTGAGTTCATTCAGGGATCCGGATCAACAACCAACATCAGCGTGTCTCTGCATGAAGCCCTGACACTGACCTGCGAGGCCACTGGTGTCCCTGTGCCCACAGTCACCTGGACCTGGGCCGGCTCTCCCGTCACCCCCAGCGAGCATACACACGTGCTCTCAGGTCAGGGACGTGGTGTGGATGCTGAGAGAGATGGGAGCTTTGGGAACACATTTTGGGTGTCAATGCGGTGAAGTACCAGCCCTGTGGGAGCACTGCTGGGATGGGCTGGTGCCGGGATCAGGGCCCTGAGACCCCTCTGCTTTGTGCTTCCAGGGGGCTGGCTGCTGAGGCTCAGCCGTGCCCAAACCCAGGATGGTGGCCCCTATTCCTGCCTGGCCAGCAACATAGCTGGGGAGGCCAGGAGGCATTTCTACGTGGAGATCCTAGGTAAGGAGGGGTCCTCAGTCTGTTGCAGGATTCCTAGTGGGATTTCAGAACCTCTCCCTTGTAGGGACAGTCATGAGTTAAGACTGGGCATGGTGGGAGATGCAATGCTGGAGTCCTTTGTGCCTGAGCTTGGAGGCTCAGCCAAGCTGACCAGCTGCTGAGGTCCCTGATGGCTTGTGTTCCTAGTTCCTCCCCACATTGAGAATGTGGATGAAGAAGAGACCATCAAAGTGTCTGAGGGCCACCCTGTCACCTGGTCCTGCCTGGCTGCAGGTGAGCATCACGTGGGGAGCAGAGGTTGTGTGAGTACGTGGGAGATGGGGCTCAGAGACCTGTCTCTCCCATTGGGGCATGGAGCGAATGGACGGCGCCAGTCGATGACATGGAACTAGCTGAAATTGGATGAAGAGGCTTTTTGGGATAGTTCCCGGCTTTGCATTTGGGTTGTCTGGGAAGCGCTGGGCCCACATGGAGAGCTTGTTCCATGACGTAAGCTCCAATTTTTTCCCAATGGAGCTTAAATTCCTCTAATCTGGTTTCTCCTTTGGTGATGGGAATAATCAATCACCTCCTACTCAGGACAGTTTTCTTTCTTCTTGCTGGCTCATCCAGCAATCTTTAAAAACCTGATCCAGATCATGATAATTTTGGATTTGGGCTGATGTTCCTGCTTCCCAGAAAAGCTCTGGTGCAGTGACCCCAGTCAGGCTGTGCACACACATGGAAAAACTTTGCACGAAGGCCCAAACCTGCTTTCCACCCCACACAGGCAATCCCCAGCCTAAGATCACCTGGCTGAAAGATGGCCACCCTCTGCCCAGCAGAGACACGTTCTCCTTCTCCCCTGATGGCTCCATGCTCCACATCCCTCAAGCCTCCCTGTCTGATGCTGGCCGCTATTCCTGCATGGCCTCCAACTCTGTGGCGAATCAAACCAAGCACTACCTGCTAGATGTTTTAGGTATGAGATGCCTTCAGATGGAGGCAGAGTCTCAGGTGTGAGCAGGGCATGTGGACTTGGAGAGCTTTTTAATTGCCTGCCCCAGGTAGGTGGTGAAGGATCCCTTAACCCTACACCCAGCAGCATGGTATGATGATCTGGACCTGCCAGAAAGCACTTGAGACCTCTTGGAGGAACATAAAGGCCTGATCTAGTGCAGGGTCCTTCTCTGACAGTGCAGGGTCAATCTCTGATGGTGGCTGGTGGGAAGGGCAGGAGTGTGTCTTCCGTATCCCCTTTTGGAGGGCAGCAGGACAGGGCAGAGTCTGAAGCTGAGCTTGTGCTGTATGTCCTGTGCACTTTATGTGCTGCTGTCAAGTCCAACTCCCTGAACTTGGATCATGCTCTCTGGTGGGGGGATGAAGCATCACGAAGCCTAAGTGGGTGCTAATGATGATCTGCCACGCAAACGTATCTCTGCAGCTAGTCCCATGTTTGGAGATGCCCATGATGCCACCGCAGAAGAAGTCACGGTGATCATCAATAACCCCATCTCCCTGGTCTGCGAGGCTCTGACATACCCATCTCCCAACATCACCTGGCTCAAGGATGAGGTTCCTCTCAAAGCATCTAGAAACATCCACCTGTTCCCTGGTACTGTGCTGGTGGAGGCCCCTTGCTCTGTGCCTGGGGGAGTGGGATATTTTCTGGGCCTGACTATGGCTCAGGGCAGTGGGTTGGTGAGAAGTCATCATCCTGCAGGACCCCAGGGGCTCAGGCCATCAGGTGGATGCTGCTCTTCCATGTGCTGCATTGTCTGATAATAGCTGGAGCCTCCTCAGCAGCATCAGTGGGACAACACTTATTTTTATAAGCCTGGAAACTGGGCTCTAGAAGAGCACTAGGCCTCCTCAAGTCAGACTTTGAGGTGACTTCTTGTGCTGCATGGGGGATAGACACCCATGGCTGTGAGCGGTGACCTTCTCAGGAGACCCACTTTGTCCAGGTGGCCACGGGTTGCAGATCCTGAATGCCCAGGAAGAGGACACAGGCACATACAGCTGCGTCGTGGCCAACGAAGCTGGGGAGGCTGTGAAGAACTATGCTGTGAAGGTCCTAGGTGTGGGAACTCTCCATGTCTTCATGCAGTGACCCCATCACCATAACTGGGCCAGTGCCCCTTGCCCCCCTTCCCATGCCTTCACCCCAGGGAGCTGCACCTCTCGCAGCTGGTGCTCAGGGACACACTTATCAGCACATGGCCCCAAAAAGCTTTTGATCTACCCTGGGGAGGGCAAAGGGGTCTGTCTGAGAGTGTCAGCACCACCCCAAGGTGCTGCCTGTCACTGAATAGCAAGAGCTTTGGGGGCTCTGCTCTCATCCCAACTGTGTTGTCTCTCCCCACTAGTTCCTCCTTGGATTGCCAGAGATGACCCTTTGGGGGAGTTTGCCCTGAAAGAGGTAAAAGCCAGGGTCAACAGCACAGTGACACTGGAGTGTGAGACCTGGGCTGTGCCTGAGCCGACCATCCAGTGGTACAAGGACAAGCAGGTGAGGTCCTAACTGCAACCAGGGAGGAGCTGCTGGTTTTGGGGACCCTTTTATGTGGATGGAGTGGGAATATACCCTTTATATGGCTGGCTGGGGTCTGTCCCACTCCTGGATGTGTAATCCTCCTCCTGTCCTTCTGTTTCCTCCCTGCCTTGGGGTTGGGGTCCTCGTACAGCTCCTGGAAAGCACTGGCCACCTCCAGATCCTCAGTGAGGGGCAGGTCCTTCAGATCAAACCAGCTGGTGTCTCGGATTCAGGGCACTACACCTGCGTGGCCACCAATGCTGTGGGTGAAGATGAGAGGGACTTCATTGTGCATGTCCAAGGTGAGCCCTGGGTGATCAGCCAGTGCATGGAGCAGTGGGCATCTCAGCAAGAGAAGGGGTCCTTAGTGGGGTCACTTGTTGGAGCAGAGCAGGGTGAGCAAGAAGGTTTGTTTCTGCTGGAAAATGGATATCTTCATGGCCCTGGTCAGGCCTGGGTAAATGCTCTGGTTGCACCTTGGGGTGTGAGTCCCCATTCCCCATAGCTGACTACAGCCTGTCTCCACAGTGCCACCCCTCTTCCAGCAGCAGTTGAGCCCCAATGAAGCCCTTGAGATCTTCTACCAGGAGGAAGACCAGGATGGGGAGGTGACGGAGCATCGGCAGGCTGTCCTCAACCAGCCCACTGCGCTCTACTGTGACACCAGTGCCATCCCACCCCCACAGCTCACCTGGTACAAGGACGGGGAGCCCCTGGCCCCTGGCCTGGGGGTGCTGCTGCTGCTAGGTAATGGGCATGGACCCTCACCGTGGGGTTTGGGGGGGTTTCCTGCAGCAGGATGGAGGAGGTTGGATCCCATCCCCTTGCTCCTGTCAACATGCACAGCACCCATGGGACCTGCAGGGTGGCTGGGGCTGCGTAGGGACCCTCCAGCCCCTCATGGAGCTGTTCCCTGTCCCAACCTTGCCCTGTGCCGCAGGGGGCCGGGTGCTGCAGCTGCCGGCGGTGCGGGAGGAGGACGCGGGCAGGTACACCTGTGAGGCGGCCAATGCGGCAGGACGCGACCGGCTGCACTATGAGCTGGAGGTGCTGAGTGAGTACAGTGTGGGGTCAGGGGGTGGATGGAGGCATGTGGCAGCCCCATAACCACCTGCTTCCAGTCGCCCCAGCAATCCGTGGTGACACAGAGGACCTGGCTGAGGAGGTGACAGCCACCATCAATGGCACTGTCCGCTTCAAGTGTGAAGCCACTGGGCACCCGGTGCCTGTGGTGTCCTGGCTCTGGAACGATGTCCCCATTGTGGTTGGCCCACGGCACCAGCTCCTGGAGGATGGGACAGTCCTGCAGGTCAGTGTCCCCCTGGGCAGGGTGGCTGTCGGGGGAAGACATGGGAGACACCAGGTAGATAGGACGAGGCACTCCTCCCTCCCCAGGGAGGAGGCTGCCCTGCTCTTGTCAGGTGCTGAGGTCCCCATGGGTGCCCTGGCAGCTCCATGGCTCTGCTTCCCCTTTGCAGGTGGCCTCGGTGGAGGTGGGTGACACTGGCAGTTACACGTGTGTGGCTGAGAACTCGGCTGGGTCAGCCGAGAAGCACTTTGTCCTCACCGTGCAGGGTAAGACATCCCCTCACCAAGGGACAAAGTCTTCTACCTCCTGGGGGTGGGTGCATGTCTGCCCCTGGGATCTGTGAGGAACAGCCAGCCAATTTTTTTGGGGAGCAATGAGGGGACAAGCCCACCCACCACATGACTTGCAGAACCCCCCCGTGTTGAGGATGCATCCCATCCCACCGAGATGTCCATCGCCGTGGGCACCCCACTAGAGCTGGTGTGTGTGGTGACGGGTGTCCCTGCACCCACTGTAACCTGGGAGAAGGATGGACGGCTGCTGGCAGGGCCCTGGCTTGTGTCTGGGAACAAGAGCACCCTCCACATTGAGAGTACAAAGGTAGGGCCTCCTCTTTCTTCTCCCCACTTGCATTTTCTTGCTGTGCCTCAATTTTTCCCTCTCCTGGCTTTTTGTGGGTGGCTGACACTGGCTTGTATCCCTGCCTGGCCACTAGCCCTGCTGGGGAGGACAGCAGGAGCTTCCACGTCAGCATCCAAGGTACCATGGCCTTGGTGGTGCAGTGAGGAGGGTTCTAGCAGGGGGTGTGCTGTGGGGTGGCCAGAGCTCTGGGTGACCAGAGAGCTGAGGCATCTCCTGCATCCATCCTTGGGATCACTAGGAGGTGGATGAGAAGGGCGGTGGGGGCTGTCAAGCCTCTGTTGGATTGGACCTGGAGCATAGTGTGGTGGTCCTGCAGAGCAGGCGGGCTGTGCATGATTTATGGGTACAAGGATGGGGGTACCCAACCCATGTGGCACCCCCTGACTTAGCTGGCACATGTCCTGCAGCACCTCTCAGCATTGCGAGCCTTGGAGAGACCCACAGCATCACTGCTGTGGCAGGGGGACAGCTCATCCTGGAGTGCCCCGAGGACACCGTGCCACCCCCTGACATCGAGTGGCACTGGGAGGGCTCTCCACTGTGGGTACGTGTGATGGGACCTGGGATGGGACAGGGGCTGGGATGTGCCTTCACCAGCCCCACTGTGCTCGTGGTGGGGGTCATGCTGATGGGGCTCTGTTGGGGTGTCAGGAGGATGCCCGCAGGCAGGTCCTGGCCGAGGGACGTTTCCTGCAGATCCGGGATGTGGGGGCAGTGGATGGTGGGGAGTACAGCTGCAGGACCACCAACGCACTGGGAGACACCAGCCTGCGGGTCCAGGTGGAGGTTCACGGTGAGAGATGATGCCCCACCATGGGACTTTGCTGGCAGAAAACACCAGCTCCATCCCTGTTAGTTCAGGGATGTGTGATGTTATGGGGTGTCCTAAGGTTGGGGTAATGAGGAGGAGGTTTGGATGGTGCCTAACCCCCTTGTCCTGGTCTGGGATGATGTTCTTCATCCCCTGAGCCCTGTATCCGTCTTTCTCTGGTGCTGGTTGGGCACTGCTGCAGTGGCCCCAGAGATCCAGCCGGGCCCCGAGGAGGTGAGGGTGCTGCTGAACAGCTCAGCAGTGCTGCCATGCCGGGCAGACGGGTGGCCTGTGCCCCAGGTGACGTGGCGGAAGGACGGCCAGCTCCTGTCCCTTCATGGGAGCAACAGGTATGAAGTTCTGCAGGCTGGTGGCACCAAGAGCTGGCCTTTGGAACGTGCCACCCATCAATAGGTGTTTTGGCGTGCCTGGAGCAGAGACAACAGTTGCTCTGCAAAGGACTGTACTCTGTCCCCATGCCAGCTCAGTGGACACGTGTCATATCTGGCTGCAATGTCACATGCCACCTTCCCAGCTGTGTCCCCCTGTGCATTGCAGCCCAGCTGTGCAGAACCCCAATGGGGCTCCTTTGTTCTCCCTCCCCAGGCTGCAGCTCTTGCCAGATGGTTCCCTGCAAATCAACCCAGTTCAGGTCCAGGATTCGGGCTACTACCTCTGCATGGCATCCAGCCCCGCTGGCTCCGACCACCAAGGCATGGACCTCCATGTCCTGAGTAAGCAGAAGAACCAAGCAGGATCCCTCCTGGGCTCACCCCCCTCCAACCCACTGCTGCTGGGCTGCTCTCACCAGTACACTGATGTGCTGCTGTTCTCTGCTCATGGCTGCAGTCCCTCCCACCATTGCCCCCTCGCCCTCCAACCTCACCCTGATGGCTCAGCAGCCGGCCACGCTGGGCTGCGACACCTGGGGATCCCCTGAGCCCCACGTCCGGTGGGAGAAGGACGGCCGCCCCCTGAACCCACACCTCCTGCCTGGTGCCTACAGGTACCCGCAGCGCTGGCTGCGTCACCCACCAAAGGGTCCCGCTGTAGGGTGGGGTTTGCCCCCTCTCACTGCTCCCCATGGGCCAGGGGCTGACCCCGCTGTGTCTCTGCCCACACAGCGTGCAGTCCCTGGGGTCACTGCTCATCTCCAGCCCTGCTCCCATGGATGAGGGGCAGTTTGAGTGCATCGCCACCAATGCCGCTGGAGAGGCACGCAAGGTCTTCCTTGTGTCTGTCCACGGTGAGATCCTGGGGGTCTTGACAAGAGTGGTGTTCCTGGGGTCTGTCACCAACCCAGGTGTGATGGGGGTGTGCTTCAGCCCACCGTGGGGTTGGGTCCCCTCTAGAGGACTTGGTGTGGGAGTGGGCAAGAGGAGCAATAGAAATATCTGTGCATGAGGATGGGATCTCCTTCAGCCTTCCCTTACAGCCCTGCTCACCTCCCTCTCCTCTCCAGTGCCCCCCACTATCGCCGATGACCTTACGGACATGATTGTCACCCGGCTGTCCCCTGCGGTCCTCACCTGCTACGCCTCCGGCGTGCCCCCACCCACGGTGTCATGGAGCAAGGAGGGGGTTCAGCTGGGCAGCCGAGGAGGGGGCTACCGCATCCTGCCCACAGGTACGGCCACGGGGCAGCCCCAGTGGGGTGTTGGGTCCCTGCCAGCCCTCCCACTGCCTCCCCTCTGCCCGCTTCTTCCCAGGGGCCCTGGAGATCAAGCAGGTCCTGCCCCCACATGCTGGTCGCTACACCTGCACGGCGAGGAGCGCTGCTGGCACAGCCCAAAAACATCTCCAGCTCGCGGTGCATGGTACGCACAGCTCCCGGGGGTCCCATGTGCCTTGGCCCACTTTGAGGGAACCCCAATGGGCAATGCTTCCCTGCCGCTTGCAGAGCCCCCCACCCTGAAGTCCCTGCCTGGCATGGTGATGGTGATGGTCAACACCAGTGCGGTGCTGTCCTGCGAGGCAACTGGGGTCCCCCGGCCAGAGCTCACCTGGCAGAAGGATGGTGTTGGCATTGCTGGAGGTGAGTGAGAGCCTGCTGGAGGCTGGCAGAGCCTGTGCTACCTGCCAGCCTTTGCCTGAAGGGATATTTGGGTGCTCAGAGGTTGTAGGCATCCCAGCAAGGTGCTGGGTAGCATCATGCTTGGGTCCTCCTGGCTGCCTAGCTGCCATCCAAGGTGGGTGCAGCAGCTGCTGGAGCTGTTCCCCGGGGACTCCCCAGAAAGAGGCCTTTCTGCAGGTGAAGTGGTCCCCACACACCACCCATCTGTACCCTGGCATGGCTGTGCCACCCCATCCCACCCTCCATTCCTGCCCATCCCCGCAGGGCCTGGGCTGAAGGTGCTCCCCAACGGGCAGCTGCATCTCCTCCGGGTCTCTCCTGGGGACACGGGCACCTACCTGTGCCTGGCTCGCAACCCCTCCGGCACCGCTGCGGGGAGGACCAAGCTGATCGTGCAAGGTAAGGCAGGACTGGGGACCCAGCGCTCGTCCTCTCCTCTGCTCAGCGCCTTCCCCGGCAGCAAGATGTGGCTGTCAAGGTGTGATCAGGACCCTGTCCTCCTGCCCCATCCAGTGCCCCCTGTGATCATGGCTGGCCCAACAGAACTGGCTGTCCTGGAGGGGCTGGAGGTGCTGCTGCCCTGTGTCACCCATGGTGTCCCCGAGCCTCGTGTGTCCTGGAGCCGGGAGGGAGACCCAGTGCAGGGTGGCGGGGGGAAGGCCACCATCCTGCCTTCTGGGGAGCTGCTGCTCCAGGATGTCCAGGTAAGCAGTGCCAGCTCCTGCAGCTGAGCTGGCTGTAAGGTCAGAGAGCTGGAGAACAAGTGTCTCTTGCTGCTGAGAAGAAAGCGCAGGCTCTTCTGCACCCTGCTGTGTCCCTGGGTTGGGGCTGGCAGGACAAGGTGTTACTTGGCCAAGCCACATCCTGGCTGCTTTCAAAAATATTTGTCAGAGCCCTGTTCAGTCCTTTGCCATAGGCTGGGGGGGAAAAAAGTCAGTTTGCTCACATGGGCTGGAATAATTGTCTGTGGCTGAGCTGTGGCTTTTTAGGTGTCCAGGATCCAAGACCCCAAATGAGTCCCTCTCATCCTCCCCTGTCTCTACGCAGGAAGGGGATGCCGGGAGCTATTCCTGCATCGCTGTGAACTCGGCCGGGAGGGCTGTCCGCCAGCTCTTCCTCTCCGTCCACACCCTGCCCACCTTCACCCGCCTGCCCGCAGACATCACCCTGAGCCGGGGCGAGAGGCTGGAGCTGGTGTGTGCCGCTGTGGGCAGCCCCCAGCCCCGCGTCACCTGGACGGCCAACGGGCAGCTCGTCACTGGTGCGTGGGCAGCGGATGCTGAGACTGGGGGAAGGTCGTGATCCTGGTACCATCCCAGTCCTTGTTCCACCTCTCAGGGTCCCTGGGGTTCTGATGTGTCTGGCTGTGTGGGGTTATAACCAGCTGGTCCCCAACCACACTTTTTGGGGGGTTTGCACCCTGCAGATGGTGTGTCAGGGCAGAGCGGCTGGGGCACCCTGCGACGGGAGGCAGCCACCCGAGCCGACAGCGGGGCCTATATATG